GAAATCGCAAAAATATTCGAACAGTTGATTCTTGACTCCGCAAAATGAGAAAAACCCCATAAAAATGGTCCAATATTCAAATAGCCATACCTCCTACAATAGTGAATATATTTCAATGAAACTTTTTTTGAAGTAGAGTTCACGGATACCTACAAAAAAAGTATTAGACAACTTTTCTGTAGGGCGTCAAACAAAATTACTAAAATTCAAAACCGAATTTTTAAGAAAAATCGAAAAGGGGATAGGTGCCTAAATTCGATGAAAAAAAATTTCAAATCGTTCTGGAAAAATTATTTTTGGTTGTGGCTGTCAATTACAATCATTTTTGGTGAATAGATATACCCCCGAAATCCTGTGCATTTTCGAGAGAAAAATTCAGTACTGGCGAAACTTTAAACGTTAATAACTTTTTAACGAAGCCTCCATCAACAAATTGGTATTCTTAATTTTAGTCTTACTTTGACCTCTAGAATCTACCATTTAACTTTTTCCCAGGGGTGGTCGAACACCCTGTATACAATATGCATTATCTTAAACTTGACTTGAAATGCTTCGTTTTTGTCTATACAAAATAATTCAATCTCACCCAGAATATATATTAAGTGTCCGCTGAAAATTAAAAAGTTTGTAGGTAGAAGATTGCAGATTACTTGCTTCAAGAATCTTCTTATAATAATCGATTTCTATTAAGCAGGTCAGTATCTAATCGACACAATATTGGGCTTGTATATGTTCTTAATCTTAAGCAGAAGTTCTCCTTTTATTATTAGGGTTTAAAACTTCTTCCATCATTTTCAGGATCTTAGTAATTGATATTTTTCATCGGTAGTTAGGTCAAATTCTAAATACAGCAATGCTTATAGTTGCGTTTATATTCAGCTACCACTACCAAGCTTTACAAAGCACAGTGAACATGTACCTACTGTGATTATTTATACCTAATCAAATAGTAGAAATCACTGTGACTTTTTGAATAAGATTTCAGATACTTAAAATTGTTTTCCTATTATCAAAGAAAGTTTATAATCGCTATTGAAAATGCTGTTGCATGAAATACATACAGGGTAGATCAAGATTAAGATCACTTGCATTACTATAAGAATAACATAAATATACAAAATTGGTATACACTATCCTATTGGTCATAGGAAACTGTAACACTTTATTCTCCTTTCATGTTTTTCTAATTAAAATACTTTTCGAAAAAATTGCTGGCTAGTAATAATGTGAACACCCTGTATATTAGGTCTACGCGAAAGACGGCTACCCCTGAACTACAAAATCACACAGTTAAAAAATATCGTCAAATTGCATCATTAATCCCCATCGGATAGTCAACTATTCATGACATAATGGTGAGTTACGACCTAGAAGTGATATGGAGAATAGTTCACGAAGTGATAAGACAAGATCGTTCTAGAAGAGCTACGGCCAGAATAGATCGTACATCATGTTCTCTCCTATAGCGATAATGGATCACAACTTGGATGTTGGAAAATCCTCAGCAACAAACTTTGTAATGTATGGTAAAAAGAAGTTGTATAGCTCCATTTTACTGCAACTGGAAAATGTAAATGAATTGTTAAATTTAATTTTTATTAGTTACTACCGTTGATATGTAGCGTTCACTGTACCCTTATGAAAGTGAGACGTCTGAAATAAAAGAAAATCGATGAAATTTGTAACATTTTTGAAATGGCAATATGAAAAAAATGAGTTCTAAAATTAATCTTCAAAGACATGACTATAGGCATTGAAATATGTTTTAATAATTTTTTGTGGCGCTCGTCAAGGGGTCTCATTTTGTTAAAGGTACAGTGAATGCTACATATCGACGTCAGTAAATAATACAAATTAAATTCTTCTTTATTTATAGTAGAATAGAGCTCAAACATGTGCAAAAATCAAATATTTTTCAAATAATTTCATCGAAAAATAATCTTAATTTAATTTAATTGAAACCTGTAATTACTTTTCACGTTGAATAATACAATATTTTGTGAGCTTTGCCCAAATTAAAATAACATAAGAGTCCCCCTATTCACATTTTAAAAATTGTCGTTAGTATTAAAAAAGATGGTAGGCCAGAATACGCGTGTCTTAAGAAATATTAATTTCCAAGGGAGTTAATAATTTTTTCCACTTCTCCAAAGTAATAAGACTCGGGAAAGCCGTAAACGATCCTTTAGCGCTCCGCAGATCTTTTTATTCGACACTGAATGCTATTCCGGGTGTTTTATATCGTGCTCTTGGGAATCTCCTAAAGCCACGATTTTTCTTCTCACTTATATCAACCGGGTGGCTTGTAAAACACCGGTGCATGGCTGCTTACCGCGCTACTTTGATTTTTATCTCGTCGGCTAGCAATAACGCGACTCGTTGCACGTAAAATTTATCGCATCGCGTGCAACGGCTGCACTTTTACACATTTTTTATCGTGTCGATGCAGGAACCACGGAAATATCTCTGAGAAAATGAAATGGTAAATGTAAAGCATATGGTCCTTCTCGATGAATATTCGATCGCGTGTTTAACACCTTTCCGTTTGTAATATTTTCTCTCGGTTTCGTAAGACATGAACCCACAGTCATTAATTCTTACAAATCATATTTTTGGTTCTACCATTGTCAATAAAGTAAAATAACGAATTTAGAGCTTGAAATTGAATATATGTACACCCTTACCTTAATATGTTTAAGTTTTCATATAAAGATCGCTACGCATTACATTTCTGAAAATATATCAGTTTGTGCAAAATCTGAAATTGTGTGCCAAAACGTGTTCAATTTCGAGTGAAATGTCTCAGCGGAGTTAAGGAAAGGTATCTACAAAACATGTACATATCGTATCTTCGCAACGCATAGTACATTTATCGAACAGAGGTAGTTAACGAAACCTCCTATCTCATAAGTGTTGCAGTTTTTGATCACTTACGGAACAGCGGAAGCGTTCCGTTTGAAAATAGCTACCTCCTATTCGATAAATGTACCCAGCACCTCGATCCGTCGTTCTTTGATGTTTCCGAAGATAGAAAAGAACAGCACAAGAAAGATAAACAAAGAGAGAAAGACTCGCAAGTACAATATTTAATTCAATATTATGCTACCAAAGATTGACCGATTTATATCGTGTTTACTCTCATTTTAATCAGAAAAATCTCCCCTCTCATGATAGTGAAATTTTTATTAACAAAAAATAAAAAATAAAAAACTTTCTTCCGTGCAGTAGTGTGGTCACACTGACACGGATGTTTAAACTGAGGCGATAAATCCGGTTTTCAGTCCCTCTTTCTTCCTTAACTACTAACTCTTTCTATGTTCGTGGCGTTGGCAAACTACAATCAAATTCGAAAAACTATTCTCCTATTCCATAAGTGTTCCTGACCGGATCCGGAGTAGTGACATTTATCGAGTTTTCATTGCACTTTTCAATGTTGTTGATCGTACGTATCGAATTAATTCCACGTACCATATAGCATCAGGTATATTTAATTTTTAACGTTTCAGCATATGTTTATAAACTTTTGTCGCTCGTCTCGTAATAGAAACAAACTACTATTTTATCGCAAGCAGGTAACTTGAAATATAAACGTTACTAAACTAAAGACGTAAAATCGAATTCACCGAATTCAATGGAAACCAAAACAATCACGTACGCCAGAGATAAGCTAAAATTAAAACGTCAAAACGAAACTGAGGGAACGCAAAAGACTCTTATACAAGGCGGGTTTTCTCAAAAGCAGTTCAGTTCCTTTTATAAAATAATTCACTTCCTACTTAGCTATTATTAAGACCACTCAGAAGAGGAGAACAGTTTTCTTCTAGATTAGGAAGCAAGTCCAGTCAAGAGCAATCAGGACGAGTCAAGAAATTCTTCGTGTGGAATCAGCAGGACGTGCAGCCAGCGGAAGTATATAAACAGAAGAATATAATAAGAATGTAAAAATTTCTATGTGCGATTATTCAAATTAATAAAATAAGTTTTCAGCTGATCTTTATTGTATGTACATATATCTTTTACCACAATTTGAAAGGTGGAATTTGAAAGGAAGTTCACACATAAAATTACATAGAAAACCTAGGCATATACATGTGTCCTTCATCCATTACACGTCTCAATTGTCATATATTTATTTATATATGAGCCGTTTATTTTGGAAGTAGCGTAAGTTCATTTATGTTCGAATCAAGATATTGAAGATTAAATTTAAAAATATGGGTAACAGATGACATAGTAGAATAATATTTTTGGGTTTCTAAGGGTGTCAAATTTATCATCCCAATTAGCATTAACATTATTTAAGAAATAATATGTTTTTGATGGCTATGATTGGACTTACGCCACTTTCAAAATAAACGGTTCATATTTCTGTATCTATATTGTTGCGTCGCGAAACATGTCGGTCCATTTATACCGGCAATTTAGCGTTTACATTGACGCTACAAGCCATTATCTAAGTGGTTTTAGTGTCAATGTAAACTAAATCACATAACCGCCATAAAGGGCCCGCTCCAGCGACCTCGCGACCTGGTCCTGACCGTTGGGCCAGGGATTTTCCCGATACCTGGGACGCGCAATCCACACTCGCGAACACGAAATGCAAGAAGTACCAGCGCACCAATCCTGAACGAAAAGAGTTCTGATTGAATGCGGTTGGCTTCTTGCATTAGGATATAAGGCGCGATATTTAACATACAAGATACAAATTACTAAGACGTCGGACACAAATACCAAGACGTCGAACGACACAAATCTACAAAACGTCGATAATATGAAATTTCTTTTTTTTTTAACTAATTTTTAGAACCTTATTTAATATCATTTTTACTTTACTTAAAATAAGTATAATTTCTTCTTTTTGTTACTTAGATTTTGTTATATTGTTGACGCGTACGCAAATATATGGTCCCCTCGACAATAGAATTTATGACATGGATGTAGGAAGGAGGCTCTTTTAGAAATTAGAAATTTTCATTTACGTTTAGCGTGTAATTAAATCATCAAGCCACATCCTGACGAAAGTAAGCGCAGTTTATAGCTCTTATATCTATAAAGTCGCTTCTCTCGTTTTTAATACCCGATGAGGTATCATAAAGAAGGGACTTCTGAAGGGTAGTTTTAACCTGTGTTTGAAACGGTAACGACACCGATGTTCAACACTTGGAGAAATTTCTCAATGTCGACAACTACCACCACCCTTGCGAAACCCATCGCGACACCCCTTTGCAACGAACGCCTTAAGAACTGTAGGAGGAGTGTTTACACTAACCCAAGTTCGTTGATTGGTAATCAGCAATATTCAATAAGGATCAATCAGCAAAAGTTAAAAAAATATAAGAAGAGGTTAGTGGTCAGTTTTGTATAAAAATTTTGTATAAAAGAGTTGCATGGTTTAAAGGGGTACACTATGTAGTGCATTTATCTTCTTTATAGGTGAAGGTGTTTTGGAGATTTAAAGGTCAACTTTGCTTTTTTAAATAGAATACCATACTTTTTATACCAAAATGTGGAAGAATGTCGAATTCATTTCATTTAAAAAAACTACCTTGATATTGGAATCTTCGCCATTTTTCCACTAACAAGAAAACTATTTCCTTTACATTATACCCTCTTTCACACTAAACAATTTTTTATTAAAACATTTTCTTAATATCTTTAGTTGTTTAAGAGACATTTCGTTTTTCCAGATAAATCGGACTCCCTGTATAAAGTTGTAATCTGAAAACTGGATGTGCAGTTATTTTCTCGACTCATTATATGTATATACCGTTCGTTCGCGATTTCTGTACAAATCTAACGTATTGTAATTTTCCAATACGGCGTAATATTGCAATTTAATGAAATGTCATTGATTTCAGTCAAATCACGTTCTTTATTAAATACGTGAGTAGTTTAAATTACTCACAGATATTTTAATATTCTTTTGCGCGATCTGAAATTGGATTACAATTTATTTATTAATATTTTTATACGATATTATATTTATCCAAATAATCAAGTTCACATTAATTATTTATTTATGCAAGTGCGTACTCGGGTAATAAACCCATCCCGAAATCTACCCATAATTTGAACTGATCTTTGTAGATGTTTGCAGAGTATACAAGAGGCTGTCCAGACTGAACTCAAATATCGAACCAACTAACCAACCAATTTCCACGTGTAAAACACGTACATTACAGCATTTATATGAATGTTCATTAATATCAAAGGAGTTCTGTACCACATTTTGGGCGGAGATCTGTTGGAAGGTAGTGAAGCCGAAATTTAGATTGTAACATGTCATTTGTCTGTTACATCAAAGGAATGTTACGCCCACATAGCATGAGTAAGTGGTACACTCAACCATCATAGTCCGTTCCTGTCCTTCTTCACATCAATTTTCCGATGGACATTGTTAACCTTTAATTACTTGCATGGAGTTATTGCAATTTCAGAGCTTCTATTGTACGTATAAATCGTGCTCCATAATGTCATTTTCCAGTATAGCTGCCTAAATCGATCTCCTTTATGAGATTCAGCACTATTCGTGGAACAAAGGTCGAGAATTATGTCTGTTTATTGGTAATCACTGACCCCATGCGTGTAGTTACGGAACATATATTTTGCGATATTTCTTAATATAATATATAATCATAAGTAGTTTTTGTGAGTGATCAGTGGACTACGAGGCGGAAAATTAACAAATAAAGCGCGAATGCAAAGAATGTAATACACTTTATTAGAATTGACGCGTACAACAAAAAGATCGGAAAAAAAGAGAAAACAATGACGTGACCGACTAGTTCCTTAAGTTGTGTAGAGTGGTTTCCACTGTGAGGATTTTATATCGATAATCTCACAGTTTTAATTTGAAATACATATACATTTAGTGGTTTAGACAACCAGTCTAGTTATTATACAGAATGTCCGGCCACCCCTGGGAAAAATTTTAATGGGAAGTTCTAGAGGCCAAAATAAATCGAAAATCAAGAATATCAATTTCTTGACTGAGGCTTTGTTAAAAAATTAAATTAAAACATTTCAAATCATTCTGAAAAAATTATTTTCGGTTGCAGGGGTCAATTAGAATCATTTTTGGTCAATAGATATACCCCCGAAATGGTACGCACTTTCGAAAAAAAATTCGAATAGGTGCTTAAATTTTTCGACTTAAAAAAAAATTTCAAATCGTTCTGGAAAAATTATTTTCGGTTGTAGGGGTCAATTATGTTACGTATGCCGAAAGTTTCGTTCCCCAATTTTTCCTTGCCACTTGCGTGCATTAGGTAATCGCCCTGCTACTTATCTAACCTTTGAAATGGGGGTCACTTCCGTCGAGATACAACAGTCCATATAAGAAAATAATGACCATATAGGATACCAATTATGTAATTAAAACAATGGTCTACGAGACTGCATGTCTGTGGTAACGATATAAAATTAGTTAATTTTTTGTTTCAAAATGTTAACAGAAACCTTTCTTATGTTAATAAACATTTATTTCTAAATAGAACAGTTGGTTTATTCGATAGGAAACTTTGTATCGTGTTGGAGTTGTATAAAACAATTAAAGATAATTAAAGGTTAAGAATGCAAATGAAGTCCCTAATATAACTGGGTTTACAATGTGGATGCGACTTGAACGCTATTTTTGAGGATTAAGAATTTTGTACACATTTGCAGCAAGTTGTCTCTTTATGGTTATTATTAATAATAGGTTTATTTAATTAGAAGTAAATAAACATTTGTTTATTTTTTTCAATTCAATTGGGTGGTTCTTCAAATATTTCCGGCACACAACAATGAGCTTTGTGACATGACAGTACACGAATACATAGAAGAATAATAACACGTCGCTGCCAAAGCAAACGGAAAACAAACAATGCCGATAGCTGGTAAAGCTCTTCAAGTATTTAAAATTTAAACCAAGAAAAAACTCATTTTTTCAAGTCAAGTATTTGATAATCAATTTTTGATTATCCAAGTGGCGTGAATATTTAATCAAACTTTAAAACAATTCAATCTGTTCAATTATTTGAATAATTTGATTAAACCAAAGTTACATGGAAGTAAGCCGCTTATCATAGCAGTGCTAATGGATCCACGAATCGATAATAGATTATTGAATGCACAGGACCAAGATACAGCTTATGCCTTATTAATAACTATTGTTATAATAACAAGTGAATCAGATATAGTTACATAAATTTTCAGATTTACAGAGACTGTAAATGAAAGATTTTCAAGACTTATCTTCTACAAGTTTGTTTCAATTTTTTTCCGATTCTCGACACATGAAGGAATTAATGAACACCATTCAACATCATGGAATATCGAATGTAAAGCTTATCTATGTGAGCCAGTGAGCAATCAAGGACATTCATCCTTACTTGGTGGAAAGATAACAAACACAATTATCCGAATTTAACTGTAGTAGTACAAGTCTGGAATACTAGTTAGGTATACATGTAGTGAAAGATTATTTTCTGCTACAGAAAATATATGTAATCGGCAGACGAACATCTCTATTATTTAAACATGTTGAATAGTTTTCTTTCCGTGAATATGGGAATATGAATTTATGATCGCTATGTGACAAACATATCTTTTATATGGTAAACATTATTTATACAAAATGTTAAAGTGGCTATAACGTAATAAATTAAAAACTTCTATGTTAATTATAAGAGTTGTACTTCTATTAGGTATTAAGATTTTAATTCTTTCTTTTCCTTACGCAGCTACAATTGTGTTCTAAAATCCTCTTATTCTAAACTCAAAGAAATTACAAATTTTAAATCATTTTTTAACTTTTACTAATTTACCTTCTACCGCACAAACTATTTAAATATCAAATAATCGCAAGTTATTTAAATGAATAAATATCTTTTTTTAATTTCAAGAATTATCATAATTATACTTGGCTTAATTTAAACTTATCCAAATCTTATCCAAACGAACTCTATTATTAAAATATATGCTGGAAAGAAAATGAAACTATTTGAATAAATCGGGCTATTAAAAGTCTATCCTTGTTGAAATAAAATATGTACAAGTCACATTACTTGCTTTAAAAAAATATAGTTCTACGTAAACGAGCATATTTTATTGATATGTGAAAAGAATTTTTAGAATATATTGGTTATCTAAAATGCTGGACAAATATTACATTATATCATTAAAATAAAATATTATATAAAAAATTATTAGGTGCACTTATAAATTGTCAGTTGTTTTTAACAGATTTTTATTTTACAGTTTCAGTTCTACTTTAATCGTGAACTCAAAGATACGAGTTTTGCGAGTATTTCAATCAGAACACGTTATTGTTAGATTGCGGATGTTTACTAGAGGTCCTTAAAAATATATTTTTTATTTTGCATATTTTACATATAGCATATGATTTGTTGTTAAGTTATTGGGATCGGTAATGAAGTGGAGTTAGAAGAAAATCTAGAGAATCTCTTTTAAAGTTATAATATATTAAAATAATATAGATAGATAGATAGATAGATAGATTTATTTTACTGTTTCCCCTTAGGGTTACACATCCTCCTCGCCTCACACTTACAGCTCTTCCTTAACCTAACTTATCCTACTTATCCTACTTATCCTACTCTTACATTACCCTTACATCATCGCTCCACCGCTTTTCCCCCTCACTCTCATTTCGCGCCCGCACGCTCTTAGCCTACTCTTACGCTACTCACTCTCTCTCTCTCATTTCGCACGCCGCACGCTCTTAGCCTTTTCGTGGGGAAAATCTTCGAAAGACTCCCTCCCACCTCTTTGGGGAGAGGCGGGAGGGGTGTGTGGGATTCCCCGCGCCCATTATAACGGGCGCGGGACCTACCCACTAAAAACCCCACGGTGACCCTTCCGCACGATTTGGGAGGATACCGGGAATCGCTTGAAGTATACTTCCGGTATCCTCCCCGTGCCCGCGCTTTGCGCCCACCCGCGGGGGGACAAACGGTCCCCCCGGTAATCGCCCTGTCTCATAGCGGCAGGACGAGGTCACATCGTCCTGCCGCCATCCGTCCCGGGGCCGCGTCTAGTGGCGGCTGCGAGCCCCAACTCGCAACCGCCGCGACCCCCCCTCCTCCCCTCGGAGGCCGACAGCTCACGGCCGCACCAGGCCACCGAGGGTGCCGCTCCGTGCGCCGGGCCCGGACAGGAGGCACTGCCACCCCATCCGGTCCGACCCTACTCCGCCTGGCGGGAGGGGGCTCCTATCAGGACCCCCCCTCCCAGCCTGGGTCATGCGCCACGCCGAGGGGGCCGCCCGCGACGCCTGACGCCCAGGCGACGCTCTCTCGCCACCAAACGAGCGCGAGCTTCAGCACGCCGCTGACGCTCGCGCTCCCTTCCCGCGGTCTCCTTCTGCAACATTACGATTTCGCAGAAGGAGGCCACGGCCCTCCACTTCTCCTCGCTGCCGAGCATGGCGCGCACCATGCCCGGCAGCGAGACATCCCGCCCGATGACGCCGATCAGGACACGGCGTTCACCCTCCCATGCAGCGCATACCTCGAGGGTATGTTCCGCCGTGTCCTGCTCAGCGTCACAATGGCAGCAACGCGCCGTCGGCTCCTTCCCTATCCGGCACAGGTATCTCCCGAAGCTGCCATGCCCCGAGAACACCTGTGCCATCCTGTAAGTGAGGCTTCCATGGCCTCTGTCCAGCCACTCACATAGGAGTGGCCGAACAGCCCCGACTGTCCGGTGCCCCGCGGTAGGCAGAGCCAACCGCACTTGCCACGCGTGCACCACGGACTGCCGGGCCTGGCGCTTCAACTCGCCCCAAGCAGGTTCCTGCACACCCGGGACCGCCCCCACCCCCGCGCGACGGTCGACGCGGTGACGATACATAATCGCGTGCGACCGCGCGAGGAGATCCATGGGCGGCATCCCCGCAAGAACCGTCGCCGCCTCATGTGACACGGTCCGGTACCCGCGGACGACCCTTAGAGCCATCCGCCTCTGCACCCGACGCAGCATAGTCATGCCGCGCCGGGAGGCCGCCAGGTCGTCCGCCCAGACGGGGGCCCCGTATAGGACCACCGACTGAACCATTGCCACATAGAGGCGGCGAACTCGGCCCGCCGGGCCCCCCAGGTTGGGCAGAATCCGGCCCAAAGCCCCGACCATCCTCTCCAGCCGGGGGACCAGGCAGCGGAAATGCTCCTCGAAGCGCCAGTGGCTATCGAGGATCAGCCCCAGATACCTCATCTGGGGCTTCACCTCGATATTAGCCTCACCCACGCGGATCAGAGGGGGTGGCGGATCCTGCCGAGGTGAATGAAACGCTATCACCTCGGTCTTATGGACCGCCACCGTCATCCCCATCCCTCTGATGCGGTCGACGACGCGTTGCGCCCCCTCCTCCGCGAGACGCTTGGCCCTCCCCCAGTGCGCCCCGACGGCCAGCACCAGTGTGTCATCTGCATAACACACGGCGCTGACGCCGTCGGGAAGGTCGGCCCGCAACACTGCGTCGTACGCGATGTTCCACAGGAGTGGCCCGAGGACCGACCCCTGCGGAACACCGCAGTACACCTCCCTCCGCATATGCCCATCCCGGCTCGGATACTCGATCCACCTGCCGCGGAGATAATCCCCGATGACCGCCCCGAGACAAGGGGGAACCCGATGATATTCGAGCCCCCTCCTTATCTCCTCCCAGGGCAGGGTGTTAAAGGCGTTGGCAATATCCAAGGATATTGCCAAAGCCACCCCTCCCCGGGAGACGGCCGACTCCGAGAGGGCCCTGACACGACCTATCGCGTCGATGGTCGATCGACCCTCCCGGAAACCGTACTGGCAGTCGGCCAGGCCGGGGGCACCCCGCGCCAGGTGCTCGACGAGGCGGGCAGCAATCACCCGCTCGAAGAGCTTGCCCACCTCGTCGAGGAGACAGATGGGCCGGTATGCGGAGGGAGACTCCGCGGGCCGACCCTCCTTCCGGAGGAGGACCATCCTCGCCACCTTCCAACTGGGGGGGAATCGCCCGTCCCTCAGGCATCGGTCGAACAACCGCCTGAGGTCAGCCCCAAGGACGCCCTGGGTCAAGACCCAAACCCGGCCGGGCACACCATCCGGACCCGGGGCCGTGTTACGCGCCCCGAGCCGTCTGATGGCCGCGGCCAGCTCCCCCTGAGTGACCCCCAGTTCGGCCGCCCACTCCCTTGGGACTGCCGCCTCCGCCGGAGGACGTGGTCCCCTCACCCGAATTGGGAAAAGAGTATTGACCACGTCCTCCAGCAGCCGGGGGTCAAGACCCTCGGTGACGGGGGGCGCCCACGGGCGGAGCTTCTTCAGCACCACCCTGTACGGGCGCCCCCAAGGATCGTCATCGATTGTCTGGAGGAGATCCTTCCATGCCTGGGCCTTGGCCCGTTTGATGGCGACCTGCAGAGCAACCCGCGCCATCCGGTATGCCTCATACAGGTCATCTGCCCTCGCTCGCGCCACGCCATCGTCCGGTCGTAGACGACGGCGCGCGCGGGCGTACTGGCGTCGGGCGCGGACACTCGCGACCCGCAATTCCGCGATCGCGGCCGACCACCAGTACACCGCCCGGCGAGGAGAAGCTCGCCCGACCCGGGGCATCGACGCGTCGCAAATGGTTGCGACTAGTACCCCGAGCCGGGCAGCCTCCTCCTCCATGCTTGGCAACTCGGCCGCCACCTGCGGCCAAGTTGCAGCGAGGGCAGCTGCCATCAGGGCGTCCTTGTCCAGGCGCCGAAGCGCCCAGCGGCGCGGTGGGATGCCATCCGGGCGGCGGTGCCGGGACGCAGCCCCGGCGGCAGAGACCTCCATCCGGATATACCGGTGATCGGAGAGTGTCTCTGCCTCCGGGGCCACCTGCCAACCCGACACCATGCGCACGGCGTTGGGGGTCGCGAATCCAACATCCACGATAGACCCCCCATATCGCCGCACGCACGTGTGCTCCGACCCCCGGTTCAGTAACCAAAGGTCGAGCCCCGCCGCCCAGTCGCCCAGGATCCCGCCGCGAACGGTGGTCCTAGGCGATCCCCAAGCCACCGACTTGGCGTTAAAGTCCCCCAGGACCAGCACCGGCCGGGCCGCGCAGCGCTGCACGCATGCCGCGACCTCGGCCAAGTACAGCTCGAACGCGGCGTGACCGCTGCGGGGCGAGATGTAGCACCCCACTACGGCGACTCCCCCCCAGTCCACGGCGACGAAACCCCGACCGCGCTCCAGAATGGAGAACGGCGGGGATCCGTCGCCACCTCCCCATACCGTCGCCACCAAACCGTCCGCGTCGCCCACCCAATGTGGGTGATCCGGCACGCGGTACGGCTCGGCGGCGACCGCCAGGCCAACCCCCCACTCCGCGAGGACTTGGGACATCATGTCCTGTGCCGCGCGGCAGTGGTTGAGATTGGCCTGGAGGAGGAGGCGGGGCGCCGTTATTTAACGGCCGTCCCAGCCTCCTCCCGGCTGTCCGTCCCTGTGGCACCGTCCAGCTCCATGGTGGACGCTGCCAGCAACCGCGGTGCTTGACCCGGGGTGGGCCCCTTCTTCCCCTTCCGGGAGGGGGGAGAGCACTTTTTGCTCCCCACCCTGTGATCGGCTGGCCTCCCCATGTCCGCACATAGCGGGCAGTGGGGGGCCGCCGAGCACTGGCTCGCGCGGTGGTCATTCGCCCCGCAGCGGTAACACTGACCGCTGCGGTCCACCGGCGAGGTGCACCACTGCCTCACGTGCCCCAGCTCGAGGCAGCGGTGACACTGGAGTGGCCGCGGCGCGAGTATCTCCACTCGCGCCGAAACCCACCCCACCAATACCCTCCCGGATTCCGCCACCTTTCGGGCGGCGGAGAGGGGACACCGGGCCCACACCGACCCCAGGCCGGAAGGAGACCTGCGGATTTCTCCGACCCGCACGTCTCCCTCGGGGCAATCACCCGCCATCGCTAGTGCACAGGACACCTCCTGCGCGGTGACCGAGTCATCCAACCCACATATGCGCATCTCTGTGCGCTTCGTGGGCCGGACGACTCGGACACCCCGCTCGCCCAGCTGCTCCTGGAGCCTCTGGGCGAGTCGGTCCGCCTTCTCGCCGCCCTCTGGACCAGGGATCTCCAGCAGGAGACCCCCGGTCACGGCCCTCTTCGCCCTCACGGAAGCGATGCCGAGCTCCTCCAGGGATATATTATCCCTGGCGAGCTGCATCGCCCCCGCGAGTGTCAGGTCGCCCCCCTGAGGAACGGTCAGCGTAACTGCCGCCGTTTTAGGGGGGCGCCCTGGTCGCACCTTCGCGGCCTTTCCCTTGGCCGCGGGCGGCGAGGTAGCAGGTCGCGGCTGCGAGGTCTTCCTCGCCGCCCTCTTCGCCTTCCGCCCTACTACCTCGCTCCACGACACCACCCCTTGGGATGGTGCCGCGGAGGACGCGCGCACCGGGGCCGCGGGTACACTACCCCCCTGGGGGGCCGCGACCCGCGGCACCGGAACTGCCACGGTGAGTGGAGCCTTCCCTCCACCCACCTTTGCCTTCCCCGCCTGAACCGACTTTGGTCGTGGAGGCACCGCCTTCTTGTTGCTGACCGCACCTCCGTGGAGGAGCTCCTCCCGGAAGGCGGCCAGCTTACTATCCATCATGTTCCCGATCCTCCTCAGAAGTTCGTCCTCTGAGGAGGATGGGGAACTCTGCACGGGCGGAGTGCGGGTGGAAGGTCCCCGCAACACCGCCGCCGCACTCCGCTTTTTTTCCACGACCGTGGGTCGTGGCGGTGGAGGTGGAGGAGGAGGGAGGATAGGAGGGAGGGCTGCGCTGTTCCAGCGCGCCTCTGCCCTCATCCTCCCCCGTCGCTCCTCCTCCACCTGGAGCTGCAGCCGGGCATTTCGCCCACACAATTCCTGTGTCGCTTCCCTCATCCTCTGGGCCGCTACCCTAAGGGGGTCTGCCCCGCAGGTCTTCTGCCCCTTCGAGGAGCAGGCCGCGGCCACCTTCTCCACCCGCCTCAGGGACGAGGAGATCCTCTCGGATATCTCCTCGGTTACCTCGTCCCTGAGGCAACTCACCATCACGACCGGGTTCATCGCCCGGTCCACTCCGTCGACGGCCTGCCCCGTCCGCTTCCTCTTGGAGCCTATGTGGCTCCTCGTGGAGGAGAAGGACGAGACTGACGCTGTCTCGTCGTCCTCCTCCACCTTCCACGAAACCGGGCCAGGTGCTGAGTGAGGCGCGAGCGCCGTCACCCTAGCCCCAACACCGTCATCGTCCTTCCCCTCCAATATAACCCGTCCCAACCCCGTTTTATTTAGAAAATCCATATGAATCCCACGAGTAGGTCGGAAATAAAGGTCCACCCGGGCAGAGCCGCCTTACCCGGGTAAGCCTAATACTCCGGGGGTTCGGCAGGTGCCCCGGAGGTGGTCGCTTGGGATTGGGCCTTCTCCCCCAACCATGCATCCCATCGCCGCGCACCATAGCTTAGGATTGGAGGGCGATTTTATAGAGTCGCCATACTCTTGGCCCAGGCGGTTAAGCCAAGGCCCCCGTTTCTCCTGCCGTCACGTACCATTCACAAAACCAAAAAAGGAATTATGAATGGATTGTCGTGACGACCAACAGGAGGCTTACGGTGTGATTAGCTTCAGGTACCTCGGGGTCGCTACGCCCCGTACTGCGGCCGACGATTGCTGGACACAGCCCCTGAGGGGACGCTCTTAGCCTACTCTTACGCTACTCGCTCTCTCTCTCTCTCCCTCCTCAATTCTCTCCTACTCCTCTACCCCCGCTCGCCCTACCCGCCCGCGACTTCCATTTCCGCCCTTACATTCCATTCCTTCTTTCACTCCTTCCTTCCTTTTACCCCCTCCTTCATTCCCCCCTTCGCCCCTTTCCACCTCTTTCTCTCTCCTCCTACCCTCCAGCCTCTTTATCCACCCCTCCCCACCCCCTCCCTCGTCTAAAATCTCCCTAATCTTTTCCCCGATCCCCTTCCCCTCTGCCTCATCCCCTGTACATCTCACCAAAACGTGCTCCCACGTCTCCTCTTCCCCTCCACATACCCTGCATCACCTCTCTTCCTCATCCCCCCAGTATCTCCCCCCCCTCATCTCGTTCCCCATCCTATACCTAGCTAGCCTCCTATACCTCACCACTCCCCACCCTGTCCTCAGGTACCCCGGTAACTCCCGTACCACCAACTCCCTATACCACCTATTGTACCTCGACTGCACCATTTTCCCCCATCTCTCCTCTTCCTGCCACCTCCCATCATCCTTGCCTCTCTCCAGCCCCCTCGCCCACTTGCCCCTTCCCCTCCTTCCCTCAACCCTCCCAACCCTCTACACCCCAACCTGTCTCTCTCCCATGCCGACAATTCCTCTCCCCCTACCCTTTCCCTTTCCATTATCTCTTCCAGGCACCACCTAGCCAACTCCCCTCCCTCTACCCTACTCAGTTTCTCCTCGTATCTCCCTGCCCTTCCCCCCGCCCACGTCCACAACTTTTTCCTCTTCGTCTCCTCCCTTACCATATACCCTGGCGTCCTCCAGTCCACCCCCAATGACCACCTTATAAACCTCTCCTGCATCCTCTCCATTTCTTCCCTCTCTCTCCACCCCCAAATCTCTGCCCCATATCCCGCCACCGTCCAGACCAACGCGTCGAACAGATACATCCTCTTTCCCCAGTCCCTCTCAAACTACCTTTTCCCGATTCCCCATGCCTGTCTCATTACCACCCCCGCCTTTCTCACCCTATCCCTAACCTGCGCTTCCTGTCCCCGTTCCTCTTGAACACGTACCCCAGGCACTTAAACTCCTTCACCTCCTCTATCCCTTTCCCCTTCCACCTCCACCTTCCTTTCCCTTCCTCCCCCCTTCCTAAACCTTACCACCTTCGTTTTCTCCACATTCACCTCCAACCTCTTTCTTTCCAGATACCCTTCGAGCCGCCTAATCATACTCCCCATCTCTTCCTCATCCTTCGCCACCATCACCAGGTCGTCAGCATACGCCAACGTACATACTCTCCTCCCCCCTATCTCCACCCCTCCCCATCGTCCTTTCCTCATCTCCTCTTCCACATCCGCTATCAGCAGATTGAAGAGCGTCGGACTCAGGGGACACCCTTGCCTCAACCCCTTCGCCGTCCAAAAACCCTCCCCTACCTCCCCCCCCACCTCCACCCTGCTCTTCGTCACCCTACAAATTTCCCTTACCCTCTCCCTCAACCCTTCCCTCATCCCTCTCCTCTCCATCGCCTCCCAGAGAGTCCTCCTGTTCACCGAGTCGAATGCCGCCCGCAGATCCACGAACAGCGCCACACGCTTCCCACCCCTCTTCACGACCTGCCTTCCAATCAGAAAATTCAGTACATATATATGGTCCACCGTACTCCTCCCTCTCCTGAACCCCGCCTGATTCTCCGGAATCACTATACAAGGTCGGCATCAACCTCACCCCTCTGTATTCCTGCACCCTCTTCCCACCCCCTTTCTTCGCCAACGGCACGATAATCCCTTCATTCCACCCCTGCGGCCACCCCTCCCCGTCCCACACTCTCCTACATACCACACATGCCAACTCTAAACCCCTCTCTCCCCCGTACTTCCATGCCTCATCGGGATCTCGTCCCCTCCCATTGCTTTCCCTTCCTTCAACCTTCTCACCACCCTCCTCACTTCCTCCTTACTTATTCCCTCTTCCTCACCCCTTTTCCTGCCCCCCTCTCCCCCCACTCTTACCCTATTTTCCACTCCTCCCAGCAGCCCCATGAAATGTTCCTTCCATTCCTCCTTCTTTATACTTTCGTCCACCCCTTTCCTTTTCTTCCTACCCCTATTCACTATTTCCCACACCCTATTTTCCGTTTTTGCCTCTGCCACCTCCCTTACCAGCCTCTCCCTCTCCTCTTCCTTCTTCCTATCGCAGAGCTCCTTATACTCCCCCCTCCTTTTCTTGTAGTCCTCCCTACTCCCCTCCCCTCCCCAACACCTCCGTAGCTCCCTTTTTTTTTTTTGTCGTGGGGAAAATCTTCGAAAGACTCCCTCCCACCTCTTTGGGGAGAGGCGGGAGGGGTGTGTGGGATTCCCCGCACCCATTATAACGGGCGCGGGACCTACCCACTAAAAACCCCACGGTGACCCTTCCGCACGATTTGGGAGGATACCGGGAATCGCTCGAAGCATACTTCCGGTATCCTCCCCGTGCCCGCGCTTTGCGCCCACCCGCGGGGGGGACAAACGGTCCTGCCGCCATCCGTCCCGGGGCCGCGTCTTGTGGCGGCTGCGAGCCCCAACTCGCAACCGCCGCGACCCCGTTTCTACCCCTCAGAGGCCGGCAGCACAAGGCCGCACCAGGCCACCGAGGGTCGCGGCCATCAGACGGCTCGGAGCG